CGAAAAAAAAAAATGACCTGATAGTGAAAAAAAATCTATAAGTTTTACATATTATTGTTTAATAATAGGAATACAAATTATTCTATACGTGTGTAAGATATTTTCTAAATAAAATTTATGGTTATTTAATTTATAGTTTGGTTGAATTATGTTTTATTATGTAATTTTTATGAGTTTTTTATAAAAATATAAAGCTTGTTTAGAGGGTATATTTTGTTTTGATCGTTAATTTTGAATACTGATAGTAATAAATATTTTATGTGTGAAATAATATATATTTTTATAAAAAAAATCGTAAGAGCTAATAATAAAGAAAATGTTGTACACAAATGTAGTACGTAGCACTTCGTTGGCATACACTTACCGTAGGTGTGGATGTTTGTGATTGGTTGGAGAAACCTATATACATGTATACTACAATGTATTGAAAGAAATGAAATCTCCACACTTACTCTTCCTACTGCTCCTTCTCTCTGCACTGCATTAATTAGATTAGAACATATCATATTTAATATATATGCAAAGATAAATATAATAATATATACTTATAATATATATACATATAATATACATATAATACATATACATATAATATATATATATAATTACCAACTTATATATTACACTTATTATAACAGAAAATTATTAAAGAAATGGTCAAGTAAATAAATTATATTTAAAACACCGTTTAATCCAAAATAAAAAAATAATAACAAATTGTGTAAACTGATTTTTTTTTTTTAAATTTTATAATCGAATATATTTATCATTTTAGTCCACTGACTGAATTAGTTGTCACAAATTAGTCCTGAAATTGGAAAATTTTTGCACTTTTAGTCTTCCGGCGTTGAAGATGCCTACGTGGCACCCGCGTGGCTCACGTGGCGGACACGTTGATTTTTACATTTTTTTTAAAAAAATATTTATTTATTTGGTCTTTTTTGTAAAAATTAATTTTTTAAAAAAAATTGAAAACAAAAAAATTTAAAAAATAAAATAAAATCCGCATGTCTTCCGGTGAGCCACGTAGGTATCTCCAGTCCCGGAAGATTAAAATTTCGAAAATTTTTTACTTACGAAAATTCTTTGCGACCGGCTCCAATTACAACACTAAAATAATAAAGATTTCAGTTTACCCATACAAATTTACAGCAAACTTCGTTGGATAATATTCTTTTTCAAATGTTCTGTTACAGTTGAATCTTTTATTTTTTTTCTAAAAATTTAATGTCAATTTTCATTCAAAATTTAATTAATATTTCGCTTTAAAGAAATAAATAATAGGAAAAGAGATATTGTAAAAATATTTTTTAGATTTTCTTGGTTCTAAAATTATTAAACATCAAAGTTTGGCAAGGGCCCTTATTTGCATATAAAGTATTATTACGAGGAGGATTAAAACAAATAAGTCCATACTAAAATCTGGTAAAAAATTTTGTACATGTTCATAATATTTGTTTAATAATATCTCTTTTATAATTTTATATTTCAACAATATTTGTATAGTTCTTACTATTATATATTAATAAAATTAAAGTTCTGTTGATATATATTATTAAAGTTTCTTACTATTTTTTGTACATGTTCGTAATGTATAAAAGATAGGTGTGCCTAAATACAAAAGAAATGATGGCTAAGTGAGCTATTTAGTAGGCTAAAGAAAAAAGATCTATAGCAATTAGGCCATAAGATGATTCAATGGGCTTGCCTAAATACAAAATTACTTGTCTATCCGAGTGTGTTTGTTTGGGAGTTTTGATTTTGAGTCTGAATTTGAATAGTAAAATTTTTTAATTTGAATAGTTGTATGATGTGATATAAATAAGCGTTGATACGATGTTTTAAATATAAAATTAATTTTTAGTATAAATATAAAAAATCAAATTAGGTGTAAAATCCCCCAGACAAACACACCATTCGTCTACTTCTTCAATCTTGTCATAGTTTCCGCACCATTCCCTCTAACCAAGTGGGAGAAGATTGAGGTTGTCAAGAAGAAATTTGAATATTGAGTTTAATAAAGATTCGATGAAAATGAATGCAATCAAAGTACGAGTTCTAGCATGCTTTAGCATGAAATCACATTAGAATAAGAATATAAACTCATAAACCCTTTGAAGAATCTATGAAGATGTTTTGCAGCCTTCCAAAATAACATCAAAGTCTTATCCATAAATTGGTTGAGTCGTTGGCAAGAAAATATAATTTCAAGCCATGAGAAATTCAAATCCAACACTCTGTCATTCAATCTTTTATATGTAGATATTCTCGAAAGAATCACAATAGTTGAATGAAAGTTGAAAGCCTAGTGATGCATGAATATATTCTGATTAAAATAAGATGATCCCACAATATTATTGAATTTGAATACCAAGAAAAAAAAAATCTGCATCACCTAAATCCTTAATTATAAAGGCCTTGTAAAGATAATCACTTATATTTTAAACGAGCCTATGGTAGAATCCTGGTAAGAGAAAGTTATCCATATATTATGAGAACAACATCAGGTCTTTTAATCTTGGTAAACAGTCGATAATTAGATTATGTGTAAATTTAGGAATGAATTAGAAATTTTGCAAGATGAGTGAAAAAATTAAATATGATGTATCATGTTTGAGTAGCAAGTTTTATTACTTCATTGGGCAAGTAAATCTTTGCTAGTGTTTTCGGAGTTAGACCTTGAAATTGTAACATTTTATTACTTATATCACATGTGGCTCCGAAATCAAGAATCCATAGATCTGCACATGGCTTATGATAGTGAAACATATGGAACTGCTCAATGGGGATGTTCATGTTTGTGTTGGATTTCTTAAAGAGTCATTCATCTTAGATTCTATGTTTTGAACAAAACGACATTCTTTGTTCTTCATTTCATCTCTTGGATGGATTAAAACCAATTTGGCTAACCTATTTTCTTGCAATGAATATAGGCTAAGGTTTTCTTATCAACCACTTTCTTCTCAAATTGTTTGGGCTGAAGTTTTTGAGCACTCATCAATATGATAAGGTTAGAGTTATGGAGAATGGCTTGTATCTCCTATTTTTGTTTTACACTAACAAGCATGACATAGATTTTGTAAATCGAAGCGAAAAAATCCCTTATTTTGACTCCTTGAATCTTCAAAAGTTTCATTCAATTCCATAGAAACTTCGTTATTTCCTACCTTTCAACGTACTCTTGAATCGTTTTCTTACTCTCTAGAATAGATGATAAGCAATTAAGGTCATCATGTAGCATTTTTTAGTAAACTATGAAGCAATGGTTATATTTCCTCTATATTAGCAAGTTCTTTTCGTAACCATAGATCAAAGTTCCATTAAATTGACCATCTTTTTCCGTAAGCATAATTTGTATTTCCTAGCTATTCTTCACATACCAAAATGAATCAATAAAGGATCATGCCATTTGGTTTCTCCCAAATAGCAATAGCATAAGAATCTTTTGGTCTCAAAACACTCCCACAATGAAACTTATCTTTTAACCCTCGTGATTTCATTGTTCAACAATAGGTAATTATCATCGCTGAGTTATGTAGTATTTAAAATTATTTCAGGATGATCCAACCAAGGCAACTTTAAATGTGCTAAGATAAGGATATGATCCAAACAAACTTCTATAGTTGACAGTCATTTTCAAATGATAGATTGAAAACTTCAATCGTCAAAGTAATAATATAGGTGATGAGGGAATACAAATCTAAGAACTCCTAGCAGATCAATCAAATCTGCCTTGATACCATGATGAGAACAAAAAATATGGGAATGGTATCTCATTTCTTCAAGAATGTTACTTGAATACGGAGCTCAAAATTCTAATGTCAAATATGAAAGAATCTACGAAAGGGTCACATATAAAAATCACAACAAACTAACATATCGACAAAAGAAAGAATAACTAGGAGAATAAGTAGTCTGAAACTTACTTTTGTCCGGCTCTAACGGTCTTATTTTTTTTTTTACATGTTAATCTTTTAATATTAATTATTATATCAAAATGTAGCAAAAATTAAGAAAAATTACAAAAATACTTAGCATTAGTGTCTTATAATACTAATAGAAGGACATTTATACAAAAAAATTATACAAATATAAAAATATTTTTAATGTTAACTACCATAACGCAAAAGGTAAATGTGACCTTAGAGGCGGACGGAGGGAATATTTATTTATTATTTCTAAAATACTATTTTTTAAAAAATTAAAAAAGTTAACTTTTTTATTAAAAAAATTAATTAAATTTTTGTTTTTTTAATAATTTTTTTTTTGAATTTTTTTTTAAAAAAATTAGAATTTTCAAAATACTTTTTAAAATATCATTCTATTTATTGAAAAAATAAATAAATTATATATCCCTCCGTCCAAGAAGTAAATATTCATTTGCTTTTTGCAAATAGTTTTAGAAATATTAATATTATATTGGGATATAGTTAGAATAAAGTAGAAATAACTAAAATAACGTTATTAGTATGTGTAATATAAAGGTAATGACATTTGTGTAATATATTGTAAGTTATAGAGGTATTTGTCACGGTAAACCAACATAATCATTTCTTATTAATTCAGTACATATCTAAATGTATCATAAAATTCAAATTCAATTCAAATTTAAATTCAATTTCACCATACTCTTTCAAAAGAAACATATCTAAATTCATCATAAAATTCAAATTCAATCTTACCAAACTCTTACAAAAGAAACATATCGTCGTAGTGTATATTTCTTTTGATAAATTTAAAAATAATAATAATAATGTAAATTTAATATTAAAATAATATATAATAAAATGTTTTATAAAATACATGTATATATATATTTTATTTTTTTATTAAAAAAACATAGAAAAAAAAACCAGTGGTATCTTCCCGATGATTTTTTATGACCCCTTTATTTAGTACGACCACTCCACTCCATACCATTTTCCTCGTGGGATCGCCCGAGAGGCCAGACCAAATTTCCCCCAAATTCATAACCTAGAAATTCTCAGAAACCCTAATAAATGTCGAATATCACCTGCAGATCTTCCAATTGCTTGATGCCTAATCCATTTCCGCTGCTGCTCCTGCTCCTGCTGATTTGTATGCTTTCCTCGCCTCTGCATTTCGCGCAGTCCCTCCCCAACAAACCCCAATTCGGCTCCAACGTCGTTCTAATCGGCGATGCCAAGTTCACCGCCGACAACTCCTGCGTGCAGCTCACCCACCCCGAAATCTCCTCCCCTAGCTCTGGATTTCTCCTCCAAAAGAAGCCGATAAAGCTCTTCACCTTACACTCCAAGTCGAGGAGGCCGATTTCATTCTCCACGGATTTCACTTTCTCCATCTCCCCTCACGACGGCGACGGTCTGGCTTTCCTCCTCGTGCCGAGAAGCTTTCCGTCGAGGTTTTCCGGGGAGAGTTTCGGGGTTCTGCGAGAGAATCGGTTCCTCGGGGTGGAGTTCGACACATTGGTCGACGATAATTTGGGGGATACGAACGCAAACCACGTCGGTGTGGATGTGAGTAGTCTAGTCTCTGCAGAAACGGGCAATGTGTCATCCTTGAATTTAGTTTTGAATAGCGGAGTGAAATTGCATGCCTGGATCGACTACGATTCAAGCTCCAAAAGGATTGAGATTAGGTTGAGTAAATACGGCAGTTCCAGGCCTTACAGTCCTCTGTTGGCTCACCGTGTCGATTTGGGCGAAATGTGGAAGAATGAAGAGGTCCTAGTCGGATTGGGTTCGACCAGTGGGAACTCAATGCAGATTAGCAATGTGTATTCCTGGAAATTCAGGACTAGGATCGTGCCCGAATGGCTCCACTCCCGGCCATTGGATCCACAAACATTTTCGCATAGCGAAGAAAAACTTGCCCACAAGAAGAAGACCTGTGCTCTGGGGGTCCTTTGGGGGCTGGTTTTCATGACAGGATGCGGCGCGTTGTTGGCATTGATTGTGCTGTTTTTGTGGGCATTGTTTGAGAATAGCTCGGAGACTGTGCTGACAATCCCTTCAAATTTCAAGGCTCGCCCCCAGGAGTTCAGGTATGAAAAGATCAATGTAGTCGTAGGAGATAACTTAACTGATGGTAAGAATTAGGGCCACTTGTTAACTTGACTTGTGTGTTTTTATGCTTTGTTGTAATATAATGTGATGGATGCACGATCGTATGCATTGTTTGCAAACACTTTTAACTTATGTATGTTAATGAACGATGATGTGGATTGTTGACGTAGATATTTGCTATATGGTTCGCCGACTTGGACTTTCTATATTGTCTTTGGAACGTTTATTAGCTTCTCATCATTTAAGTTGAATGTAAGGATATGTTAGCTTTTAGAGATAATGTGGCATGGTTTTATTAAGATGGATAGAAAAGAAAGCTGTTATCTTTGCGACAATCTAGTCGGAGGGCCATATGAATGTCTCTGCAATATTTTTCGATGAATCTTAATTACTGAAATTTAGGAGATTGAAAGTGGTAATAATTGGGCTTTTGTAGTGTTGATCTTCTTGTAGAAGTAATTATTTTTAGCTGCTGTGGAGTATTGCGAATATCTTTGTTGAAGCATGAACTTATCCCGGTCAGAATCCCGTGTAAGTTCATCTGCCATTCTTTTTTATACTTTTCTTTTTGAAGCAGCATCTGAAAAACAATCAGGTTTTGACATAAACAATGCAAAGCTACAGCATTGATAAATTTCTGCCCCATATTTGAACTTTTTTGAAATATGATCATAAGTAGAAAGAAGAGGATTCGGGTTTGTAGTTGATGATGAATCTAAAGAATCTGATAAACAATATATGGAGAAGCTCCCAAATTTCCACCTTCAGTATCCACTTGTTTTGTTTGTATTGTTGCTATTGCATCTTCATTTTTTATCTCAACTCTAACCTTCTTTTTAATTGAATTAGACATCTCTACAAATAATCACCTCACCATTTATTGGATAATATGCCTATGTGCCTTGGGTTGAGCATTGTAACCCAAATATGCCTATATGCCTATATGCCTATATATATATGTATATATATATATATTGAACTTTTCATCAATTGTGTGATTCTTTGTGTAAGGTATTGTCAATTCTCTATGAATTTCATTCTCTTTACAAAATCTATTGAACTCATGTGAAACAAATTCACCATCTCACTTAGTATGAAGAGTTTTAATTTGGTGCTTGCTTTGTTTTTTCACTAATGACTTGAATAATTTAACATTTTCAAGTGTCTTTGATTTATTTTTCAAGAAATATATATGGCACATAGAGTGTAATCATCTATTAGACATAGGGTCACACAAATCTAAATGAATAATAGTCGTCTTCCTTTTTTTTTTTTTTTTTTTTTTGATAATGTGGGAATCCGTAGCTATCCGTTTTTTTTTTTTATATAACGGGGGAATCCACGGCTGCTATTCGTCAAATATGTTTTGAGTAAACTTCAAGCCAAATCTAATATCATGCAGATTAGGCCCGAGAAGGCAAATGTGTTCCATACTTTTCCTATACGAAATGAATGCCTAATCTATTTTCCATAAAGACTATCTCTACAAGAATTGAGACTATCCATTTTTATTTTCTTTTTTTTGAATTTATGCATAATTCACTTTTGTAATGATAACATCATGTTACATGTTATCTTAATATTGAAAATCTTTTAAATATTACCATAAATGATTTTAAAAGTTACTTTTAAAATGTCATAGCAATGAATTTTTTATTTTTGAATTAATGCATAATTCAATTTTGTAATAATCTTTATTCTACTTTCATCCATAAATTATAAGATATATTTTATGTAATTTTCCCTAATAACTCAAATTTGTCTTCTTCCCCCGACCAAGAAACTCATAAATTCTATTTGAAGTTCAATTGATTTGGGTATGAAGTTGAGATATATATATATATATCCTCCCAAATAATAAAATTCTATTTGTTATTTTTTTATTAAGTTTGTTAGATTGTAATTTAAAATTGATTTGAATGACAGTGTTATTTGAGTTTTTTTATTTAAATAATATTTTAATATAATATTTTACAAGAAAAAAATAATATATTTCTTTTTCACCTACCATGTTCACATTTATATTGTACTTTGTTTTACATCTCAATGTCACTTATCTTTTCTTTTTCTTTTTTTTTTTTTTTAAAGATTACACATTTTAATCTTATTTGAAAATTTTTAATTTATAATTTTTTTATATTAATTAGACTAATTAGTTATTTTAATTATAACACTTCATTTGTCCACTTCTAAGGTCACATTTGCTTTTGCGTCGTTGTATTTAACATTAAAAATATTCTTATATTTGTATAAATTTTTTTTTTTTGTACAAATGTCATTCTATTAGTATTATAAGGCATTAATAAAAGTATTTTTGTAATTTTTTCTTAATTTGTACTACGTTGTGATATAATAATTAATATTCAAATATGAAACAGCAAAAAGTAAATAGGACCTTAAAGCCGGACATAAGTAATATATAATTATTTATGTTATATAATAATTACTTTTACTAATGTAATGATGTATTTCTAAGTATTCATTAATTATATTTTTTCTAAATTTTCGTATATAATAAACTCGAACACAATAGCAAGAAGATATATTTTTATTACACAATATATAAAGTGAAAGTATTAAAGTTTAAATTAGTAAAAATGCAAACCCTAATTATTCAATTTTCAAATTTACTTAATATATATATTATTACAATTAACGTCAATCTATATTCAAAACATTCTACCTAGCAATTATTTAACATAAAAAATATAAAATTCCAAAATACAATAAAATAAATAAATAAATAAACGCAATTTCCTAGCAAAAAGTTGTATTTTCCATACACAATGATTGAAGAGATTAAATTCAAATACAACATTTGGTGAGGTTAGTTTTGGCACGAGTTGTTTATTTACATTTAGTTTAAATAGAATAGATCCTGATAGATTTTCATTCGGGTTGTGCTGAATACATATATTTTAATTACTTATAATTTATATCATTAATTAAAATAATTAATATAATTATATACAAGGTGTTAGAAATACAAATTTCAGCACCTGATTCATAGGAATTTTCAGCATGGATCTTATGCTGATAGATTTTCATTGAGGTTATGTTGAATGCATAGATTTTAATTACTTGTAATTTATATCATTAATTAAAATAATTAATATAATTATATACAAATTGTTATTACTAATCCAAGATCCACAACACATATTCGCATAAGAATATTTTGAATTTAACGAAAACTTAAAGAAACTTTTATATATTTCGAAACCAATAGATCTCGGACTCATTTTACTCATATATCAACTGAAACAATGCAAACACTCAACCACGATCTAAACCCAAGCGACATCCACATAAATGAACAAACAACGCGAATCAGATCACAATCTAAAGAAACTTCAACATTCTAAGCCTAATTTCATCGCGGACAACAATATACACCACGAACAACAAATCAGACTAGAATCGAGAAAGCAAACCGATGGACAGCCTCAGAACAGGTCGAAAATCATCAAGCACATCGAATCCTCAGCTTCGCCAGACAAGACCACCGGAAAAATCGCAAGGAAGATCGATTTGGAACCGCTGTCGGGAAATTAGGGCTTCTAGAGAGAGAAATAAGCGTTGTGAGAAAATGAGAACCGAGTTCAAGGAGGAGAACCAGTATATATATATATATATATCAAACTGGTAATCAAATCCAACGGTCCAAATTCAAGCCACCGATCCAACAGCCCTGATTGAGCCTCGCATAGACGGATAGGATCGCGGGTACCGGATCCAGGTTTCGGATAAGCGGGTTAGGTTGAGTGCTGTTGAGCATCCAACAGTTAGGCACAAAACCATCACAAATCTCCACCTTTTTGGGCTGGAGAATGTATCAAAACTAGGTGTCATCACTGTCCGAGCATCCATTGATTTCAGTCTTTTAACCTGCGGACTTATTAACACAATTAGTATTCACAAATTTTATCTACATACGAAAAACAACAACAATGCAGTCTTTTAAACAGTTAAAAACAACAATGCTTTTTTTTTTTTACTTTTCAAAAACAGTGATTAAAATTACAGTTTTTATAGTTTCAGACACATTTCTAATCAAAAGTATCAATATACACTATTTCGTAACCGATATAATCTTTGATCCTTTGTCCGCAGGATTATTTTCAAAAAATATATTTTCAAGTTTTATCAAACATTTAGACACTACCTCATGAATCAAATGAAACCTAATGTCTATTTGTTTCAAAACATAAAGGTACTTTTTCAAAAGACCATGTCCACTTTTATTTTCATTTATTTCCTTAACCAATTCATTTCTATATGTTGATCTCATTGCCTTACTATATGTTTTTGGTTCAATCCCACCTGCAAATTCAAACACACCAAAGGCAAGAAAAGTATTAGCAAAATCATCAAACATAGATGGTTTGTCTAATTATCCTCCTAGTTCTATCACTAGTCAATTGATTATTCTCTAATCCAGGGCTTCCTACATTTAAATCCGAACCTAAACAATCAGAATTTTCATATAAATCAAATTGTTCATGCAAATTCTCAAAATTCAAAACAGTTTCAAACAAATTTTGCACATTTTCAGAATTTAAAACATTTTGGGATAGATTTTGAAAACTTTCAGACCCTAAATGTGGTCCGGGCAGATTCTGGAAAATTTCAAATTCTTTTTCCGGATCAGATTCAAATTCTGTACATGCAAGAACATTTTCAGATTCAAAAATTGCATTTTTATTGTGCTCCACCTCATTTGAGGTCTTATTCAAATCACTAAGAGTTTCATTTATCTCATTTGGCACATAGGCATCTCATGCTTATTAAACATTACATCCCGACTAACATAAGTTTTAAACCGGTTTAAAAGCTAGCCACAACATATACCTCTCAACTCCTTCGGGGTATCCTAAGAAAATGCATTCTAAGGTTCTAGTTTCCAACTTATCACTAGAAACACGAATAAAAGCGGAACAACCAAACACTCTAAGGTTGGACAAATCTATATCTTTCCCACACCAAATCGATTCGGGGCAAGCTCCCTTTAAAGGGACCGACGGTGACCTATT